TCTGAAGGGGAACAATGAACTCGAATTCTCGCTACTGGAGTCCCTACAGCGTTTTTCATTTTCCTTAAGAGGCCAGTCCTGAGAATTCAGTGTGACATCGCGACATCATTCACAAGTTGACTGTTTCCTTCAAGTTAATGTTTCTCTCGAGTTGATAACGCTACCTGTTTATTATGTTGTGAAGAGAATGATATCGTGTTTTTAATTATTAACACTGGAGCCACCGTGAAAACAAAGACAGTGTTGAATTCATGACAACAAGCCAATTCGTCGAAGCTTTCACCTTCGACTTCCTTTGTTTCGTTTATTCATAGAACTTGAGTCTGATCTCCAGTGCACGCTGGTGTCATTCAATTGCAGACGTGAATTCGAAGTTTTTTTACCACATTTTCGCTTGTGGGATTTTGGGCACTAACGTTAACGGTTATTTTGGGATTTTGGCCACTAGTGGCTGTTTCGCGATTTTGGCCACTAGTGGCCGTTTACCGATTTTGACCGCTATTGGCCGTTTCGCGATTTTGGCCACTAGTGATTACTTTGGGGTTTTGTCCACTAATGGCCGTTTTGGCAATTTGGCCACTGGTGGCCGTCTTGCGATTTTAGCCCCTAGTGACTACCTTGGGGCTTTGGCTACTAGGACCACACGTGGCCGTTTTAAGATTTAAGCCACTAGTGGCCGTTTTGGAATTTTGGCCACTAGTGGTCGTTTTGGGCTTTTAGCTACTAAATATTCCAAAGTTCGATGACACAAGCAAAACTTCTTTGCAAACTTTTAAGTACTCCTGTACCGTTGCATTCAAAATCTCTCTCTTCTCGCAAGCCTCCTCCCTTTCAGCGTTGCAGGCCAATTCCCCTCTCAGCTCATCCTGCGCCTTAAGCAAAAGTTATTTCGCCAATAACTGAGGCCCTGTTGGGGGTTTTGGGGATAAGGGATAACTGGGCATATAATCTAACGGATGAGGTATAAATAAGAAAATAACAAATAAAGGATAAGCAAATAATTTTAGGGATGGTATGATTAAGATCGGGTTCCACATTATTATTCTCACTTGTTTCGCAATTTTTCCGCTTTTTTCGGTAGTTTTTATTATATTACCCATGACCACCTATGTTCGGTTATCGTTCATTTACCTCATTGTTATTAATCAGTTTAGGTTAGTCAACCTTTCTGAGTCTCCTGTCCATGTCGGAAAGCGCACGTCAAGGCAATTCCGTAACTTTAAATGGGTATAGGACAAATCGTGTTTAGTTGCGAAAATTAAGAAACGACCCTCGTCTCAAATGATTGCTAATGAAGCACCTTACGATGGCAGCTTGTAGAAACAGAGACCGAATGGACAGATAACCCAGGCCAATGTTGATTCTATCAGACATTTTGATCCCAGAGAGATTCCGGCTTCACTAGAGGGGAAAAGAAAGCTGTTTTGACCAATCCGTCTGTTATATGCTTTGGGCCACATGGACAACTATTCCTTGTCGATACGGGCAAAGGCGAAGTTTTTTCAGCCCGACTTCATTATCCTGTTGATGTGACGTACAAGTGTAACTGTCTCAACAGGCCACTAGCTGTTGTGTATGGAGAGGGAGGTTGTATACGTTGCAGAATACACTGGAAGCAAAGTTTCCGCCGATCATCATTAACCTGGAAGCTAAAACGGTCTACAATCCTGAAAGAATAACAGTCAAAGAGACGAAAGTGGTTCTCAAAGATCATCAAAGGCCATCATTGAACGGATCTGATAGGGTTTCTTCGGATTCATTTTTGGTTTGTGGGATTTAGTCGATGTTTGTTCGAATTCAGTGTCTCGCCTCTGTATTTCAGCATAGTTTTCGATTTGAACGTAAGTGGTAAGTCGTCGAACGTTCTCTCATGTGCATGGTACTCTAGGGTGCGTAGTGATACAGCTAGACTCATGCGACGCAATCAGAGTGTGCACACCGCCTGGATATTAAGTAATTAGCAATTGACATTCCCGCTGTGGAATCTAACTGAGTCACGTTTCACGTTACGCTGGAGGTTCTGTATTTAGTAACAACCTCGAGCATGAAGATGCTCTGTCTATCAAAAAATACATTCAAAGAAACATCATGTAACAAACAAAAATTGAAAATTAATATAATCATAATAATAACGTTAAGAATTTTTCGCAATATTCTGTCTAAAAACGAGTTTCGTTTCCCCTTAGCACTTTTTCCATGAAATGAAATTGTTCATAGTTCCGTTCTGCAGGAATAAAGGGACAAGAAAATTTGGTTTCATCAACGGAGTGAATAAATGTAAACTGGCCACCGAAAACAGTTTCTTAAGTTGACGTTTGGAGTAAACGGTCCGTTAGCCCTTCGTCAGAGCGAATGAAGACGGGTAACGCTCGAGACGTCAGCCGCCCAGTTAGCCCAATGGATAGTACGCTGGACTGTTGTGCGGGAGGTCGAGGATTCGAGCCCCGGCCGGACCAACACTCAGGGTCTTAAAATAATTGAGAAGAATTTGCTACCTTTC